TACAGTAGGGAACCGATTATCCGGAACGATCGGGACCATCGCTATTCCGGATAACTGATTTTTCCGGTTTTCTGAATCGCTACAAAAAGCCGTTTTTTTATTGTTAAACACAACTAAAAAAAATTTTTTTTTGGAAATAATCTTAAAAAGAAGAAAAAACGATGGAGCAATACACTAATGATTATTTCCAAAATGATGGTAAGGTAAACATCTTTCAAAAAAGAACGAAAAATCCTAAAATTTTATAAGGAAAAAAAAAATTTTTTTTTATAATGGTGGGAAAATTTATCGAATTTCGTTCCGGTTTTTTGGTTTTCCGGTTTTCAGGTTTCCGGATAACGGGTTCTGTACTGTAATTTGATTCAGAAAATTATGGGATGTGAAGTTTAAATAGACTATTCATATCAGATCATTAAGTTTAGTAGAGCAATTTCTCGAGTATTAACATTTCTCTTTAATAAGAATATTATTTCTTTTGTTTATTTACAAATATTTTTTCAATGTGTTTTAGACATCGAAAAAAAAAGAGAGAGAGATTCTATTTCGAGATCTATGATCTATATTGTCCCCTGCATAAGAAGGTATATCAAACATTCTTTTCAAATTTAATAAGCCACAATAAGGAAGAAACGTAGCCATACTACACTGAAGAAATTTCCAGAGCAACTAAACGTGCTGTTCTACAAGTAGTTATTCGTTTCAAATAACAACGCCCTCATAGATCGTTGCGTTCTCGAATATAAGCTCACAGGACAGAAAATTAATCACACTAGTGCGCAAGCACCGATGAATTAGGTTTCGTTCTGTGAAGCAGTGGTCAAGCGACGAGCTCAACTTCGTGCGCTCTGCCTAAACGTGATCAAAGGCAAGTAACCATCAGTGAGATATCTTTGTTTCGAGCGGAAATTGTGTGTAAATATGGGTAAGAATGTGACAGAGTGGCAAAAAGGAGCAATTGTGTTTGGCCCTGCCCATGGTCATACGGTAAATAAAGTTGCTGGATTTGTTGGTGTTTCGATGCGGACTGTCCAACGAGTCTACAAGCAGTGGTGTAATACACGTGGTTACGAAGGACGACGTCAGAATTGTGGTCGGAAAAAGATCTTGTATGAAAGGGATCGGAGACGTGTTTTACGACTTGTCAATCAAAATCGCTCCCTAACCCGGTTAGAATTGTAAATGAATGTCCATTTTAGTGAGAAAACATTGAGACGGGAGATTCATACAATGAATATTTGGTGTTGAACACCTCGTAAGAAGCCATTGCTTAAACAGGCACATAAAGCTGCTCGACTTCAGTGGGCTAGAAGTCACCGAACATGGACAGTTGCTGATTGGGGGAATGTAATATGGTCTGACGAATCACGTTTTTGCCTTTATTCAAATGACGTACTTCGTCGAGTGCACCGAAGATCAGATAGAGCATTTCATCTTTACTGTGTGCAAGGTCAGGCTCAAGCCGGAGGTGGGCCTGTTTTGGGGTGTTTTTCTTATTATGGATTGGGTCCCCCTCAATGAGGTGGCCAGTAACATGAACCACCATGTTTATTTGAACATTCTGGATGATCATCAGGTGTTGCCTTTCAGTCAACATCTTCATGAAGAGTATGCTGACGATACCCCTATTTTTCAAGATGAAAACAGTAAAGTTAATCGCGCTGGAAGAATATGTGACTAATTTCACTCAGACACTCAATAACATTTTGTCTGGCCTGAAAAATCACCTGCCTTGCACCCCATTGAAAATTTGTGGAACTTGTTGAAACAAGGGGTAAAACGCAGAAATCAGCATCCTCGCAATTTGGTGGATTTACGCGATCAAATCCTCAGCGAGTAGCTTAAACTGGATTCGACGTACATGCAAAACCTTGTGGTCTCACTTCCCAACCGAATCCAGACTGATATTAAATCCAGAGGCGGAGTTATTAAATTATGTTTTTAATGATTTCTCTAAGGGTGACTAATTTTTTGTCCGGTTTGCTTATTATGATTATTTTTATGGAAAATCCGGAAACATTGCATGGCACGAATCCTTGAAGTTTTTATTTTATTTTTTTGTCTGTTCTATTTTTCTTTCGTAGTAAAATTCAACATCGTATTTCAGGAAAGAAGATATTCTGGATTGCGTAGAAAGTGAAACCAATCGCTGTGGTCTTCTTGGTTTCGTTGATTTGTTTGGTTCTTCAAAAGAACTAGAAACCTCATGTGAATCCTTAGATAGATGTTCTGAAGAAGGTAAACGAAAATGCTAATATTTTATAAGTAATTTGAAACTCTTGAAGTACAGTATTTTATTTATAAATTCGCGGAATTAATCTTCGGAAATATGAAGTATTTTTGCTTCAACTAATTTATTTGTGCTGTCAGAGTTTAGTAATTTTAAATAACAAAGCACCAGATTTGATGAAATAATTATAATGGTTTTTAATTTATAAAATTTAAAAAAAAGGCATATTTTTAAAAATTTATTTCGCTGAATTAGTTCATATGTTAAGCTTTGCTATTTAAAATTGCATAGCCCGAAACGATGAAACAATTTTCATGGCATTCAAAAGCATTTCACCCATTAAATAAAATATTACAAAATTATTAAAACTTATTTTTACACGCAATTATCTTTGAACAAATAAATTTTACTATAATATTCAAAAAACTTTTGATTCGCTTTAAAAAATTCTTGAAATTTGGCGAAATATGCTAAAAGTGAAATTTACATTACGGGGTAAGATTCAGACCTTCGAGCAGTATTCTGACTAAATTATTAATTAGCTAAATGATTTTTTTTTCTCGTATTAAAATCTTTTCAGGTCCGTAATCTCATACATTCAGAATCGGATTCAAGATTGGATTCTATTTAACGGAATCGGATTTTATTTAACTCGACGCCATACACCAATAGCAAAATCTCTTATTTTTTTTACTGTTGATTATTAAACATTAAATTAATAGTCTTTGATAATATTTCGTGGTTGAGCCATAGTGGCTCAAGGGATAGAGCGCTCGACTCCTAATGGGGTGACCAAGTTCGAGTGCCATCGCTGACTTATCGATACAAATATTGCACCCGGCTCGCACCGACTTCAGTCGTGGCATAAAATTTCCTCAGCAGATGGATCAAGGGATAGTCTTTTTGTCGAACCGTGGGAGATGTTCCTCCATGTAACGCAAATGTGGATTATCCACCATCAAAAACACCTCCACGAAGGCAAATTTCTACCAATACTTGATCCAGGGGTTTTCTTGTCTTCTGGATTGGGTTCAAAATTACCAGGCTACGGGGTTGAACTTTGGTAATTGTAAATCCAAAATTGAGTCGGCTATTCAACTACGGTTATCAAAAAAATAAAAATATTATTTGGTTGTGGAATGATAACAGAGATATAGTTCGAAAGCATATTGGTAGTAATAAGGTTATAACGTACTTTTTCTTTTATTGCGCAATACATAAAATTTTGTTCTTTAAAGAAAATAAAGGTGCCACAGGGACGCATTCATTTCACAAAACAGAAAAAGATATTTTGGTTCCACAACAGTTCTTGGAACCTAAACTTTAGCCTTTCTAGCGAATACGTAAATCCAGTTTTGCATATATAGTTTGTCTATCTAAACAACTTCCTTTGCCACAAATATTAAGGCCGTTTGTTGATATGAAAGCGAGAAATAGCGAATTTCAAAGAAGGGAGCTTACCACTCTAATTATTCCCTTTCTCTCAGCTACCCGAGTCAACCCTTTCTTAAATATTGACTTGACACCCCTACTTGAAATTGTTAAACCTCGCAATCATACACACCGCCAATGCACCAGGCGTATTGCACGAGGAGTTCTTTCCATAGACAGACTTACGTGATCACGCGATACTCACCTTCACGACCGGCGGTATCATATATGAGCAGAGTCATATATGATACCGCCGGCCGTTATATATGATACTACATCTAGCGGCCCCATACCACAAGGATGTAATCTGCAATTTAGTATTTTCTTATTATTAGCCGTATTAGTACGTTTTCATACTCTTTAGTGCATATACTCTGACGCTCCTTTCTCCGTCTGCAAAAGGGTTAACTGTACCAGAGTTGGACAAAAATGTAATCGATTGCATTTTTCGATTACAGTAATCAACTACTTGTAATCCTGATTACAAGATAACATAATTTTGATTAAAGCTGTAATCGTGATTATAACAAACAATTACAGTAATCAATTACTTGAAATCGTGATTAGAACTTTGATTACAGCTGTAATTGTGATTACAATAGTCGATTACTGTAATCAATTACTTGTAAACGTGATTACAACTTTAAAATTTTTTGATAACAGCTGTAATCGTAAGTACAATAATTGATTACAGTAATCAATTACTTGTAATCTTGATTACAATTCATCAAAATTTTGATTGCATCTGTAATCATGATTCCAAGTAATTTCGATTACAACTAACCATAACAAAAGCAATTACGGGTCATAATTACATATAATCAAATAGTTTGATTGCTTGTCATCACGATAACAAGTAATTTATTACAGTAATTGGTTATCTAATCACAATTACAGTTGTAATCAAAATTATGAATGTTTGTAATCATGATTACAAGTAATTGATTACGGTAATTGAAAAATGTAATCGATTACATTTTTGCTGTATTCTGATGTAATCAAAAATTATGATTACTTGTAATCGTGATTACAAGTAATTGATTACATAGCAGTAATTATCTGTAATCAATTACAGTTGTAATCGATTACTGTAGTAGACGCCCAACTCTGAACTGTACATTTCTGGGTTAATTATTAAATCAGTTGTCCTCATTTTTATTATTATTTTCAGAGAATGAGCTTGAGGATTACTCAAAAAGCAATAAGTACAGCTTCCTGCATTGTTTGGATGATCACCAGCGTGATATGATGGAATGCATGGTCTACAGTTTAATTGAAGCAATGAAAGAATTGATAACAATGTCGAGGATTGAGGAGAATTTCAATGAACAAACTGAAAAAATAATGTTATGCAGGTTAATTAATCGTTTATATTTTTTAAAAATACTTTTACTTCTTTTTTTCTACTTTTCGAAATATTCTTACAGATTATTTGTTTGAAAATACTAATTAGCTGGCTATCCTAATTTTGATGACCTAAAATCCTGGGGAATAAAACATTCAAAAGAAAAGCCTCACATCTGCTCATCTTGATGCCCTGGAATCTTTTTCTATTCATATGAATTATCATTCCCTTGCTGACGACATTAATTCCTCACCACCTCTCCGTAGCGCTTGGAAATGCGTTTCACCCTGATTTGCCCCTCTCAGCTACTGTGCTTTTTCTTGTTCTGTTTTCAATCTTTTTTTTTCTTCTTCTTCCTCTCTCTCTCGGCTACTGTGGTTTTTCTAATTTTGTTTCTCACCTTTATTTTTCTATTTTATTTGTCAGTAACTTTACGTTTTACATTTCAAATCGCTTTTGTTTCTTCAGATTCTCGCCTGGCAAGTCTTGAAAATGGGTGTTTGTTTTTTAAGCGCTTGAAACAAGTCGACTGTTATTTCCTTCTTTTGAAGCGAATTATGTTTTTAATCAGGTAACATGGTGCTGCCTCAGTTTCTTGGGGTTATTTATTTAAAGCTAATTCTGTTTTTGTCAGATTACTGTTGGGAAAACGTGAAGTGCATCACTTTTGCATCAAACTTATCACTAATGAGCCTGAAGAGGTCTATCCAATATAACATAAGGCCTAACAAGGGGATTGTTTTTGCTTATTTTTTGCTAACAAAGGTGAAGGGGAAAGGTGTGATTAGTGCTTACGTAAGACAATAAAATCTTCTTACTTTCAAAATTTTATTCGAAATCAAAATTTAAAAAAAAATGTAACAAAAAATTGCAAGTGGAAATATTTTAAATTTTTAATAAAAATTTAATTTAGAAAAAAGTATAATAGCAAAATATTTTTTTAGCAGTTTTGAACGCAAAAGATTTCTTAAGTTGTTGTAGTTCATTTACGTCGAGCTGCACATTGGGCTATTGGCGACTGTCTAGGAAACATCCCCGAGCATGATCCGAAGACACGTCATCACAATTTTGATTCTCTGCAGAGGGGATCTCGCTTCGGTAGCCGGCGACCCGCGCTAAGTCGAGCACTTTACAGTAGTACGATAGAAGTCGAGCAGTTTACGGGGGTTAAAGAGGACCAATACAGTACACCCCCATACAGACTGATCCAAGTGGTCACCCACCCGCACAATGACCTCAGCCAGTGATGCTTAAATTCGGTGATAGAGATTTTGAAAGAAATGAAAGTTTGCATTGTAATTGCGACCAACTATATTCAAGAAACAATATATTTAAGAAAGAATCTTCAAAAAAGGAAGAAAGCCGTTAAATTGTAAATTAGCTATCTGTTGGTAACCTGTAAGCCTAAGTCACGGAGGAGAGCAACGTTGCTCACTGCCACAGAGGTCAACACACAGTGAGAAAGGTGTCCATGCCCTGAGCTGGATTTGAACCAGCAACCATTAAATTCGCAATCGGGTACGCTACCCGCTTGGCCAACTGGCAGGCAAAATTATGCTTTTTGAATGGCCCTAACCTATCTCGTGGAGTTTGTTTATAAAGGTTCCGTAGAATTAAAACAGCAGTGTATCCAATCCCCCCCCGGAGATTTTTTCCCCTTCTATTTATTTATTTTTCATTTATTTTATTCCATTTTATTTTATATCCGTACTAACTAATATTGACACATAAGCACATTTCTTTTTCAGCGTATTTCAAACGATTCTACTTTGTTCCAGAAATGTAAGTATTGAAAAATGTGGAAGAGATGGATCAGATTTAGTCAGAAAGGAATTAGAAAAAGAACATAAAGATATATTGGATTCCTGTGACGAAATTCTAATAGTGAAGCTAAATTACTCGTAAATGCTTATAACTGTAAATAAAGTCATTATATTTTTATAAATGTTATTTTATTTTTATTATACAGGGTGTTTAATTATATTGGGGAGGTAGGGATCATCGAGAGAATAAAAGCATAGCAACCCATGACCGGAAATGTTATCGTACGCCGCTAAGGGTGCTCCTCGATCATGAATATATTGTTCGTGAACTTTTGAATAGGTACGTTTACAATATCTATCGCTATATCACTGTAAGAATTTTCATTCTAGAATTACGGGGAGATAATCGGCACTAGTCTGCCCTTCCAATTAACCGTAAAGTTTATGGTTAGAAACATTTCTCTTATTTTACGGGTTTGAAACCATTTACAAATAGTAATATCTTGAAACCGTAAAAATGAAATTTATCTGGACATCGATGTTAAGTTATGTTAGACAAATCGACAATTCAGTAAAATGATTTTGCTCTCTCGTTTTAATGTACTTTATAATAATGACTATCTAATCGCTTTTATTCTTCTTCCCCCCCCCCTCGAAAAATATAGTAATAATAAATAAATGAAATCAAAAAAGTTCGTTTTTTTTGGTATTATTATTTTTTTTTAATGTGTAGGAAATTTTACAGGGAGGGCAATGGAATAAAATAAATACGTATTTTGCAAACGAAATTATCTTTTTTTTTCTGGAAAAATATAAAATATTTTTTTAATGTTGAATGATAGTGAAGTGAGCTAGACGTGGAGCCTACAAGTACTTCTGAAAATAAATATTTAATATTAAGTCGAGAGGCTATTAAAATACTATTGACATTCACAATATGTATGAAAAAACATTCTCGGCAGTTGCAGCTATTAAAAATAATCGTCATTAACGAAGTCAAAATTCTTGAATGCCCTATCAAAATATTTTGATGGTTTATGTTGGTTTCAATGCGATTCATGATGGTCCATCATCATTTGATGGTCAACATCTACCATTACGTGTTCATTGTTGTTGATTTGCCAACTAACTTCCGTCATTCCATGACAGAAAATGATACTTTAATATTGTAATGATTAACCATCAAGGTTCAGTCAATCATGTTCCAGACACACACGTGACGTCATTTAGAGATATAATTTAAGTCACATGGTTAGGCATAATCATTATACTTTTCCACTTGCAAGTATCTAATTGTAATTATTAAACCCAGTTGCAGGTACAAAATTGTAATTATTAACTTGGGTGATTAGTCAAAGGGCTTAAAAATTTTTTTATCCATACACATCGACCACAATACTCAGAAAATTATTTCAATGATAGACGGCCAGGATAACCTACTGGTTGGTAGGGCACTGAGCCCTTGTCAAAAAGTTGGTGGGTTCAATCCACGTGGCCCGAAGACTCTCCTTGTAGTAAATAGCCATTTATGCACTCTCTAGTCACAAAGTTCTCAATATTCCCATAACAAATCATACCTCTGAGAGTACCGATCCAGGAGTTCCCTTGTCTTCTGGATTGGGTTCAAAATTACAAGGCTATGAAGTTGAACATTAGTTGTCGTAAGCCCAAAATTGGGTCGGTTGTTCAACGACGGATATAAAATAAAAATGATAGTTGTATCATGGGTTAGAACAGGGTTGGGCAAACTTTTTTGGTCAAGGGCGAAAAATCGAGAAAAAAAAGTTTGGTGGGCCGAGTAAAAACTTCTAAAAGAAACGATATACAAGTTTTAATTTAAATATTTAATGAGATGAATGAAATTGCGATTTCATTTTTAAAAGTTCCTTTTATTGAGGTTCGAAGGGAGATGTGCTTATTTTAAGGAACGAGGCTAAATGCTTGTCTGTTAGTCTATTTCTGAAATGATTTTTTTCTAAGGTTCATAGTTGAAAACAATAATTCACATATATAAGATGAAGCAAACATAGCACTGATTTTCTGGGCATGAGATATTAAATTTTGGGAACTAGCGTAAGGTAATGATTTGCAAAAATCAAACTTTGGTATGCTTAGAAACAGCAATAGTGTGCAATCTTTCCATGCGTGGTAAATAATGTTAGAACTCGCACCGGCAGGAAAGCCCACTCGTTGGAGCTTAAAATGCGCTGTCTGCCACATATAAAGCACAATTCATCTATGTTAGATTCCTTATGTCTGCTCCTCGAGAGGGACAAACGCTCGTTGGAGCTAATCTGCGGCTATTCTATAAATAACTTCTGTTTTCAACATTTTACCAATTGAAGCTGTCTGTGTTAACTATTTCCATGTTAACATACTACATGTTAATATTAACATGTTGGAAAAAAAAATGAAAAAAAATTGCTTTAAGAAAAAGTAGACAAAATAATTGATGCATAATGTATCTTGTTTATATTCGTCACGGATCAGAAAGTTAGAATTCTATCCGCGGGCCGGATAAAACCTTCTGGTGGGTCACAGTTGGCCCGCGGGTAGTAGTTTGCCCAACCTTGGGTTAGAATGTTCCTGTCGTTGGACTGCTGTGCGGTTTTCATAGTTTACCGCACGATCTGAAGTAAATGATAAAGTATGTAAGTAAAGCATATAAGCATAAAGCATATAAAGTTATGTATATAAGTCGCCAGGTATAATACAAAACAGAAATATATCACGGAAACAAAAAAATGCATAAACAAATAATAAGTTTAAGTTAAGTAAAAGACATATACGAGAAAGAATTTATATTTCAATAAATTGGATGTGTGATGCGGGGCTGTATTTAATTGACTTCACGTTAATTAACATTATAATTTATGTGTAGAAACTTAGCTCAACTCTAACACGCCATTTTAGGTATAAACAATCAGCTGGAGCTGACGACGTCATAGATCACATGTGTGGGTCATAGATCACATCTGTGATCTTCTTGAAGTACAAGTACTCAATTTAAAGCTTTTCCTTAGCTTTTCGATGACCGCAAAAAAATAATTTGACAAAAAATCACGATTTCGTTTTATGATATCGTCCAATGCTTTTAGAACTATTTTGTTTTTTGAATGTTCGTCAAATTGAACTTTAGAGATTTTAGTAATGGTCGGTAATTTGTGATTATGCAATAGACCTTCTTCTTGTTAGTTATGAGAATAATTGAGAATCTTTAAGAAAATTTTTAAAGTAAATAATGTGACAAAATTTGAAAAACTCACTTAACACAAAATTAATTTTTATTCACGTAAATATAGCTCAATTTTAACACGCCATTGTCCCGCAGTGAACTGATCGTTAAGAAACGGTTTCCAGCAGATCACCGAAGTCAAGCATCACTGGCTGCGATCAGTGTGCTTCTGCTTGCACTGTAATAAAAATGCAAGGATGTCTTGCTGATCTCTTGAAATCTGCACCTCTACTCCTGTGGGTTGTGTGACTGGGTGGCGCAGTTGGTTTGTCGTCGGCCTTCTGAGCCCAAGTCAGCGGGTTCGATCCCCGGCCCAGACACCGGATTTTCGGAAAGCAGAAAATCCTCAGCGGAATGATTACGCGGCATGTAAAAGATCCTTGGAGTGCCTTTTTGGCTCTTGGCATTTCTGACAAAATTAAATTCCTAGTGCACTTTAGCATCCAAATAGAGTCTCGGTGTTGCCATCCAGTTTGGCAGAAACTAGACGTCCAAATTAACTTGGCCAACGGTATCTCACCCATTGTGGTGGTCTTGAAAGAGTGGATACCACTTCAGGAGAACGCACTAGGTCTGCTCGACTGATTGTGCAGCTCATTGGAAATAATAAAAATATTTAAAAAAAACTCCTCTGGGTTGGCAAGCAATCTGTCGACTTAACGAACGCATTGGTTTTACATCCCCCCCCCCCAATTATTTGATTCATAACCTATTTGCTGTGTTCAATGCAATCTCATGATTAATGTTCTGAACTGCCAGTTTCCACTTTTACAGTTTATACTTCTCTTTTATATTGTCCCGCAGTGAACTGATCGTTAAGACGTGGTTCCCAGCATATCACCGAAGTCAAGTATCACTGGCTGTGACCACTTGGATCAGTCTGCGTAGGGACCGAGGGTGTGCTCGTTAAACTGTTCGACCGTAAAGGACTCGACTTCGCGTGCAGGCCGTCAGGCTACCGAAGCGGGGGTGCCATCCTTTCTGCAGAGGATCAAAATTGTGATGGCTTGTCTTCGGATCATCCTCAGGGATGTTTCCCACACCGTCTCCAATAGCCCATTGTGCTGCTCTAGTGCGACGTAAATGAGCTACAACTTTAACACGCCATTTTGCTTATAAATTATCAACTGGCGCTGGCGTCATAGGTCACGTGTGTGGGTATCTGTGGATCTTCGTTTTCCTGAAGTTCAAGTATCCAATTAAAAGAAAATCAACCTTTTAGAAATAATGATTATTGAGGATTCAACTTTTTGTGAGAAGTGATTTGAACAGTACTAAGGAAGAAAATTGGTTGTTGAGTTCAGAGAGTTCTAAGTTGGTAGTCTTTAATGATTCTTCAGAAGTAAAAAAAATAAAATATAAACATTTTAGAACGATGCGCACTGTAATTAAAAAAGAAACCCTGATGATGAAGCAAAATATTAATTTTAGCAGAGGTAACATCTGAAAATACCTTATTTTAAAGTCCCGTGAATTTAAATTTAAATAATTGTATTAAAGAGATTATTGAAATAAATATTCTGTTTACGACAAGTGACAATAATGAGAATCAGATATATTTTTTAAGAACTAACGAGTATTTTCTGTGAATAATTTAAAATCAAACCATCTTCAGAAACCGTTTATTAAGTCAAAGTCCCGCAGTGGACTGATCGTTAAGACACGGTTCCCAGCAGATCACCGAAGTCAAGCATCACTGGCTGTGGTCAGTGTGCGGGTGGGTGACCACTTGGATCAGTCTGCGTAGGGACCGAGGGTGTGCTCGTTAAACTGTTCGACCGTAAAGGACTCGACTTCGCGTGCAGGCCGTCAGGCTACCGAAGCGGGGGTGCCATCCTTTCTGCAGAGGATCAAAATTGTGATGGCTTGTCTTCGGATCATCCTCAGGGATGTTCCCCAGACCGCCGCCAGTAGCCCATTGTGCAGCTCTAGTGCGACGTAAATTAA